AGAATCCCGGTTAGCAAGAAAAAAATTCGCCGCAAATGTGACCTGCAGCGTCCGTGAAAATGGGAGTGGGATCCTTCTCAAACAAGCCACTTAGGAGAATTATCTAAGCGTAATAGTCACAAATGACCTAAAAGCCACACAGCATACACTGTAAAAGGTAGCCGCCGAAACCAGGATGTGCTGTGCTATAAGAAGACACTTCTCTCGAACGACACCAAAGATCTTCAGACTACTGTTCACTTCCCATGTAGGACCGATTATAGGATATGGGCTGCCAGCTGCACTCTCACTCTCCAAACTTGACTGTGCCTTAAACGAATAGTTCCAGAGACATGCCGCTGAGTCCGTTTTCGGGCTTCGTCATCTGCGCTGCTCTCTCCGACTTCAGGAGATGAATCTGTTCTCCATGGAATACCGTCGCTGTCATAGTGGCCTCAGCTTTACGAGGCGCAAGCTAATTGTAGAACTTGGAAACTAGCTAAAGGAGCTTGTTCAGCTCAACACTGGGGACTCGACACGAGGCCACGAATGGAAGCTATTCAAAACGAAGAGGCTCATAGTCGGTATCGCTGTCGCTCTCTCCACTCGGGTATTGAATGACTGGAATCGTTTACCAACGACTTGTTGATGCGATGACCGAGGAACATTTTAAACTGCTCTTAGATACTCACCTACGCTAGACATCAAGACCGCACTGCCCTACGTCGACTGCACTGGTTCCCTGAGGACTACCGGGTCGCGACAGCATACCTGTTTTAATAGTTCAATAGTTCGATAATTCAATAGTGTATGGTGGGATAAAAAGCAATAACTTTACAAGACCCACAGGATGGCAAGTGGAAGAAAACAAAAGTTTCTGGTGTGACACAAAAATATCAGTAAGTTAGACACTGCAGTTTGTCATACCGTTATATAATGTGTATCATGTAAGTGCAAGTCTAATAGTCTTTCGAATGTCTCGATGTTTGGTGCGTTCACCACATGCGTTGGGAGTGCGTTCCAGTGCGGACAGACACTAAGAGAGTAAAAAAACTTTCTACAATCTAAACGGGAATATTGAGTCACAAGTTTTAGTGCATGGCCTCGGCATCGTTTGTCGGCAGATAATGTTAACAGCGACTTACATTGATGGTCCTTTTCTCTTAGCATCCGGTAAGTGAGGATCAGATCACCGCGAAGTCGTCGGTATTCTAAGGAGTACAGACCGATCGAACGAAGGCGCAGTTAATAACTAAGGCCCGATAGACCACGTGTTGCCTTAGTGGCTCTTCTTTGTGGTTGCTCCAGGAGACGAATGTCCCGTTTTAACCACGGACGCCATGCCTGCAACGTATACTCGAGGTGGGGACGAATGTAGGCGTTAATCAATAATGGCACGAGTTGCCGCTCGAAGGTACCGAGCGCTCGCCTCAAAAGCCTCAAGTTTAAGTTCGCTATGTTAGCTGCCTTTGAACATTGGAGCAAATTAACCAGACCTTCTTGCACGATGACCCCTAAGTCTCTTTCGTTGCTCACCTGTTTTATAACTCGTGCCCCAGGTGATATGTGTTGCTGCAGTTACTGCGCAGCGACAACAGGTGACACTTTTCGGGGTTCAGGGGTAGTTGGTTGTTTACTGCCCATTCGTGAATCCGGTTCAGGTCATCCTGCAGATAGACAGGGTCAGATGTTGACTGAATAGCTCGCCACATCTTAGCATCGTCGGCGAATATTTGCATAGGTGATTGAATGTTGGCAGGGAGGTCGTTGTTATAGACTAAAAAGAGTAACGGGCCGAGAACTGATCCTTGCGGTACACCGCTAGTGACGCATAGGCTATCGGAGTGGGTGTTGGCGATCCTTACCTCGATTCTTCTGTCGTATAAGTAACTTTCCAACCATGTGAGCAAGGATCCGTGGATACCATAGGCCGCAAGCTTTCGGAGAAGTGCTGGATAATTGACTCTGTCGAATGCCTTAGAAAAGTCTAAGTAAATCACATCTACGGGAACTCCCTCGTCAGCAGCCCTGGTCCATGAGTCCCGAGGAAGTAGTAGATTGGTGAGGCAAGATCCTCCGCGTCTGAATCCATGTTGGAGGTTGGAGATGATTTGTAGACTTTCAAAATATCTCACCATTTCATCAGCTATTATAGACTCCATCACTTTTGATAGAAGAGGAAGGAGAGTAATAGGTCGGTAGTTGGCAGGGTCTGACCGCTTACCTCCCTTGTATATCGGAGTGATAAGTTCACGTTTCCACTCAGACGGAAGTGTATGAGAATCAAATAGAAACTGGAAAAAGGTTGCAAGGTGGACTGCCATGGTGGGTGCAAGGGTTTTAAGTACTTTCGGACAGATGTTGTCACTTCCCGGCGCACTATTTTCTCTGAGCGACTGTAATTTCTTTGCCACAGATGTAGGGCTAAAGTTGACCGTGGATAAGCCGACGACATTTGCTGGGATGAAGTGGAGGTGATCCGGCTAACATGGGTCCTCCCTTCTGCCCTCTACAACTCAATGCATTAATGTAAAAATCGCTCCACGATTTTCCATTGATAGTGTAGGTTTGCGCTGATAAGTTTAGTGACATTAATGATGACGATTTCACTATCCCGGATTCCGTAGAAGACCACATCGCCGATAGTCAAACTTCTGACAGTGACACTCCTCCTAAGTGGGTCTGCCGTTTCTGCATCTTCCAGTGAAGTTCGAGTTTGAAAGATGTAAGATCATTGACTCCAATAGAGTTCCAAACAAATACCATAGGTTTGATGGCAGCACAGTGTGTTTTCAAAACAAGAGCACGAGCAACTGCATAAGCCAAAAATGTGTGCGAGATGGTGAGTTCTCGAGTGCTTTTATTATCATAATCACGTCCAAGATGCAGAAGCATATTCAAGTATGTACTGAAGCTGTGGTCAAGAGAGTTTTAGATGTCAGTTGTCAGTGGAACATATGCTGCGTGCTTTCATTGGGCTGATTTACATCAGGGGCATTATGGGCTTGAATAGCAGTCGATTGAAAATGCTGGTGTGCAATAAGTACGGATTGCCCGTTGTCAGTGAAACACTTGGCAAGCAAATAAGTGGAAGTTCCTTTGTTTTGATATGTGAACTACCAGGGGTGAAAGGCTGTAAATTTACAAGTTTGCTTTGACATCCGATTTCTGGAGTGCATGTATTCGCAACGCTCAGCAGTGCAATTGATTCCCCCTAAAACCAGTTGTCGTTTTCTTCAGTAAATGGTCAACCAACCGGATAAGCTTGGTGTTAAATTTTGGATTCTGGCAGAAGTGGACAGCAAATATCTCTTGGATGGTTATTCATACTTTGGAAACGAGAATCTCAGTCATGTAGAGAAAGTGCTCCAGAAGACGTGGTGTAAAGTCTTATGTCACCCTTCGTTTGCAACAGCTAGAATGTCCCATATGACAACTTTTCACATCTGCAGCACTGTGAGTATTACTCGTCAAAATTATATAAGTATGGTTAGAACTGCTCGAGCTAACAGAAGGGAATTGCCAATGGGTTTGCAGTAATGCACGAAAAAGTTGTTCAGTTCACTTATTATAAATAATGAAAATAAACACACACCGAAATCCTAGCAGTAATTCGAATTGAACTTCCAATCAAATAGCTTTCGGTTTGCAGTTACTTGCACGGTAACTATTACATTCACGACTCTGAAAAGAAGTCTGCGCATGTATTGGTTTACTGCTCCACAAAGCATGGGTGTATATGCTCGAGCAAATGGCAAGAGCGCTCACTGCCTAGTCATCATCCCGACGATGGCCAGTCCAAGTATTTCTCAACGTGCTAGATTTGGAAGGCATTCTTTATAGTCACTATACAAGTTAGCTACAGGTGGGATACACTACAGCTGCTCGCTGCAAGGTAGACATTAATTCCTGCATACTTTATACTAGTGTCGCTGGAAATAAAGTTCCTACCGGTCACATCTCATGGGTTTTACTGAAGAACTGAATTGACCTATGTAACAGATAAGGAACCTGACAACTGGACATACGTCCAACACCTCAGCCCAATCGGATAGTAGTGGGACAAGTAAACGTTGGGAGTGTCAGATTGGTTCCTGTAAAGGCATCAAGTTAAAGAACTGGTGCTCTGTATGTGATAAGATACTTTGTCAAGACATTGAGAGGTATCAGATGTTTCAAGTTTAACCCTACGCTTAGATTCGTTTTCTAAAAATTTAGATTTATTACAATTATGCTTCAATTACACATTTGTTTTGTACCTTGCTTTTAATATGCCTACTCAAACTGACAATTAAATTAAACTTTGGATAAACAAACACAGTGATGCAGTCATTCGGCTCGGCCTCGGGCTTTATAGGTAGAGTAGCGGAGCGTATGATTTTACGGAACTGACAAGAAAAGGATAGTTGTACGAAGGGGAAGACAAGGGCAATTAGAATAGCGCGAGCAAAAAGGGTTGCCAAGTTCGTTTTTAATTGTGGTTCTTAGTTGTAACAACGGTACCCGATCAGGCTCAAACAAGCTCAACTGGAAGACTGAAAGTGATTGAATTGTGGAGTATAAGCTTGTTGGAAAAACCGTGAGGTCTCATGGAGTTAGAGTGACACAACTATCCAGGTCTCAGTTGCACCAATGCAAGAGCACTAGTGAAACGGGTTGAGGCGGCTTCAGAAAGGTGCCAAAGTGGACAACGGACAGGAATGATAGGATGAATTTGCTTAGGTGTACAACGGCAACCACCATTCTATCATGAAGCTTTTTTGCCATAGGGCAGTAAACAGTGTACCCTCCGTCAGTCCTTTACGAAGCGCCACGATTCGGATTGCTTGACCTCTGCAATTAATCCGAATATCTGTGAGCCAATCGAACTATAATGTTGAACGCCCACACGCAGAGGTGAATTCAGACGAGCAACCCTTCTCTATTGGCAGGTCTAATTTGTACCGCTTGATACCCACTGAACGCATGTATGCTTGCGTGCTGATTGCGCCGTTCAGTCCAAGGACGTGGGCTACAATTGGCCGGTATGAAACTTAATGGGGAGCATGAAGTGGACGATTGGTCATAGGGCGGCTGGCAGTGAATTTCGAGACTTAATATACGTGAGCGTACGAACTCTTGCGCTGTGGTTGATTCTCGTCATGTGCTGTAAGTTTTGGTACTTTTAGTGTCTCTTTCTCCTGCGGATTTGTCCTCCTTTTATATCTCACTCATTACATATGTTGCTGTTTTCTTCTGGTGGTGCTTGATCATTTGATTCCTTAGCATTTCCATCCTCAGCGTGACAGCTGACAACCTGTTTTATCTGAACACTGTACATAGTACTACTTGCCAAACTGCAGTTGGTTAATGCGCGGGTAGAACGAAGGTTTACGATTTTACGGTACGCGCCCCCCTCTCGTTGTCCATATCCATCAATAATTGCTATTCCTGTTTTCCAGCCGCATCTAGTCAGAATACAGTGTACGTTGACGGTTGTTATGTGCCACCCGACCGTGCGGGTTATGGCGTGTTCTGGGCTAAAGGAGACCCGAAGTAACTACATTTCTAATGAAGTACCAACCGCTTGTAGAAATCGCGCTATCAAGCTTCAAATGCCCCAAACAAATCTCACGGCTGAGATCGCGGTAGGTTAACGTACACTTTGAAGGTTTGCATCAAACCTGAGTGGTGCATCGTGTGACTAATTCGCATGCACCTATCGGGGCCTGCTTAATTCTTCGGCATTATCCTAAGTTTTCCTACTACCAGTTACCGGGTGGAAATGTCGTTATCTTCCAGGCTGCGGTAACGGCGATAGATCAAGCGATATCCTACAGGATGAACCAAGTCTGTATCGTCACCGACTGTGATGCGGTTGTTGATTATTGGACCGGGAAGCGGAACGTGCCGGAACCTGGGGATGAACCACTACGTTCGTGGGTCCTGAAGCTGCTAGCTTTCAAGGGGAAATCGTTGAATGTTACTTGGGTGAGTCCTGCATTTTCATTTTTGTGCTTTGTGCCTGGCGCTCTTCACTACGGAGACGAAGCCAGTTGGTTGCAACACATTGTACAGAGTGGTAGGGGTCTCTTGGGATTCTCGAAAAGGTTTATTGCAATCAAACTCAGCCACCAAACGTCCGAAAGTGACAAGCTTCCTATCCTATTGGGTCCGGTTGTCGGCATGCAGTCATTGAACCCTTCTCAATTCAAAACACTTAGGCAGCTCAGCACTGAGGATAGAGAGAAAACACGAAAGTCGATACAGGTTATACAGCCTATGCAGATACGGCAGCCAGCAGGTAGCTTTATTTAGCGATCTAATCGTCAATCGAGCTAATATTTGGATGTGTTTCCAATTTTCCCATTTTTTAATCAGCTTACCATCGGTACTCTCGGTTTAGTTATTGTTTTGACTGTTTGAATAACCTAGCGATTTATCTAGTCCGATTTGTCTTTGCAGCCGGTTTGTAATTTTTGCGTCCAGTTTGAATTAATCTAAAACGAATCTGCTCGATGCCTTCTTTGCTATTACCCTTTCCCTCAATAATCTGCAATTGCCTTAACAGCATGTATGTCACATCAACCGTTAGTGCCCGTTCCGTCCTCAGGGCGGTAGCAGTTTGCGTGACAGTGGAAGGTGAGCCGCATCATATCACAGCTAATAATTAGTTGGACACTCCACTGGTGTCTTCCATGGCTCAGTGGATTAAGTGGCTGACTCGTAAGAGAAAATTGTGCGGTTCGGATCCACATAATCTTACTAGCTGGCATAGGACTACACACACCAGGGGCGCTTTGTCAGATGTTTGGTGCTTGTCCAACCGCAATTACTTTTCCTACTCAACTGCAAACCAAGACGACATGCTGCTTCGTGAACGCACAATGGCAGGTAACTGCTGAAACTGATTTCGCTTTTGCCTTCGCGTGAGTGTGATCGCATTCGGATTTGGAAATTCTCTGATTGGGCATAGCAGTCACCAGAGCAACCGATCGGTGATATTTCCGGGTTTCATTCAAACCCCTAAGCATATGTAGGTTGTGTTTGACATTACCCAACGAAGCACTGATTATCCATGCACCACTGCGCAGCTAAATTCGTCCAGGGCGTAATAGTGAGTACCCTAACCCCAGACGCAAGTACCAACCTGATACATAGTTCGGAATTATGGACAACATAAATTCCAGGGAATATTTCCATCGTAATAGGATAAACTGCAGTAACAAATTTGTCAGGTAGTTTGGGTGATAGTATGCTCGCTCGTGCTTTAGTAAGTTCTCATCCTATTCTTGAAAATGGACTCGATATACATAATCCAGTTTCTCCTATGTACCCCACTCATGTTTCGATATCTCACTTTTCAGCGTATAGTGGAAGCTCACTCAGGCGACGAGGGAAATAAGCAGGCTGATCTGTTAGCCAAACAAGGAGCTGGTTTGGCTTAGATTTTGTAACTTTTTTCGACTACATATTAATAAAATTCGTATCTGTGCTTACTGCCCCACTCGTTCTTCCTGCACTTGTTTTCCGCCTTCTGTGTTACTGGAGCACATCCAATTCCTTCCGATCTAGTTAACCAAAGGTAGTTGTGAACATGTGCAACCCTGTACCCTGTCAAGCGAAATTATACAATCTGATGTTTCGTTACTCCGTTGTATCTAATCTACGGGCATTGGTTGTGAGTAAAGTGCTGTCGGTGCCGAGTCGTTCTATGGGAAATTCAGGGTGAAACTTGTGCGTACCTGCCGGTTTTCGGTAAGACGAATTAAACGACTTCATGTTTCGTGCGCGATGACGTCCTGCTGCGTACCCACTGCAAAAACATCTGGTATACCCACCGGCCAGAGGACTACATTTATCGGTTAGGTTTCGGTGGTAGTCATTGTAGCTGATCTATTCGCGTTAACTTGGTGGAGTCATTGCATTGATGCCATTTTTATACCAAATGACTTTCCAAGTACTCGATGTTACGTTGCTGTGGCATAAATCGAGCGCTGTCAAGTGAAGTTCTGTGAGACTCAGCGTGGAAACAGTGGACCGATTTATTGATATTATGATGAAACAGGGCCGTCTTATGATCAGTAATGGTCCGTTCACTGTTAGCGGTGTGAGACAGTTACCGGTAAATGGTTTGGGTATTGGTGGTGCTCATGTTTTGGCTGTCACTGAATGAGAGACGTCGGGATCCCCGAGGTTTTTGTCTCATACGATTTGCCCGTAATACACGCGCCCGCGGAGGTCACTGAAACGCATTGTGTTATTATATAGGAAAACTTGACTGTATTTGAAAGATGGATTGGCGTACCCTTTTGCCTAATATGCAGAACAATCTAATTCACTGGATAATCCGCGTTGCATGTGGGAGTGGCGTGTATCTGGTGATTGAGTTTGTTATCAACTGTGCCCAGTTGTTTTGATCCGTCGCCGTTTCCACTGTCAAGTCAGCATTATCGTTTGTAACTCTCTAGCCAAAACCAACAGGGCGCTATGCGTCCATTCTCCTCTATGACAACTGCGGATCTTGACGAAGCATACTGGAAAAAACACCGTACGTCCCTGGATGAAATCCTTAAAAATCGCGAGCGGGCTTCCACTGCAGAAGTGGATTGCGCCCCTGAAACTGTTAGCAAAATGACCGCTTTGCTGAAAGGAAGTGGTTCGCGATTTGGTAAGTAGTTTCTGAGCCACGAGAGACCTAACTCAGAATCGGAATTCCCAACGATTGTACATGATTTGGTAGGTTGTTGCTTGTTATCAAAGGAGTGTCACTGTCTTTTGCTTATCAGGCTTCATCAAGACAGCAGTTTTCTTCAGTTCATCCAATCGTCGATCTAGCTCAATCACCCTGTCTTACTGTGCAATTTTTGAGTAATTTTCGGCTACATCAAGGGTGTTATAGACGGCCTTGTTCAACTAATGGCCAAGATTCCGTTGGTGTTGAGCACTTCGACGTCAGTGTAAAACTGTTGGAACCCGAATACAGCCACGCGTATTGAATCCGAAGCAGTTTGACGAACAGCGTGGCAACGGCTACGTCATAGCATGAACTTAGCTACTCGAAATGAAAACACGAAGTGAACACGAGTGAGTTGATTGCATTTATGGACCACCAATTTAGTCAAGCAACTGCAAATCCACCTGTATTATGTGAACGCCATAGGTCATTGGATAATTGATACAGCTTAGTATACCCCGTGAAGGAGCTATGAGGGAAATGAACTCACTACGAACCAACATGGGCGCGGTCGGTTCGTTTCGTCTTCCAGGCTGGAGTCGACGTGACTCTCCTTGTGCTTAGCTCGAGGCTTCACAGGATATTGAATTCACCGCTTATAAATGATGGAGTAGCACCTAAACTTTGGAAAGAGCAGATTATCAAGGGTCCTATGACAGTGTCGCCAGCTGCACTCAACGCCTAAAAGACCCCCATAGGCCGTAAATCCAATAAATGTAAAAGGCTCACGGCCACTCACCGGTTCCTACAAAAGTTTTAAACCTGTGAAGAACCCGGTAGAAACTGATAAATTCTATCAACATACATCCCACAAACACTATATAAAACAACATCCTGAGCCGACAAAAGCTAGGGACGAATCACTTTTGGATACCAGTGACCAGAATTCACTCCCCTACCACAAACTGAGGCACAGTAACTATGACAGAATAAACAGCCAGGACCATGAAATATTCCGGCCGATGAGGTACGAACGTGACATGTTGTGATCCCTCATATATATTGTGTTGTGGGACGGGAACTTGGTCGAGAAAGACACGCGTGTGCGCAGCTTGTGAAAACCGTGGTCGCGTGCAATAAATATTGTGTTTTCTTGCCGCTTGTTTCGTGCCACTGAATGATCAGTGTCGCTCTGAACCTCAGGCCAAGCGCTAAACCAATATTCACACCAAAGCGCCCTGTGCCGAACACAAAGAAAAGTACTGCAGTTGTCAGGTGGAGAAATATCCGACAGGCATTCTCCTTCATTTAAAATTAATGACATGGTGTGTACGCGAGATCTCCAACGGCTGAGTAAATGGTCGACAGCTATCGTGCTTGGCAGAAATTATCTAGTCACCTACGAACTAATGCTTAGAAATGAGAAATGGGCCAGGCACGCAAATCAGCTGAGGCTGAATCACGATAAAATTAATGCCCCTCAGAATCGCCTTCCATACCGTTGTATATACTGTTGGTTTGGAAGGCAAAGAGGATGAGGTACGCAAATCAAAACAGGCATCAAGCAAAAGGATGACGCACAATGCAGTGCGACTCGAAAATGAAGGCGGCCGCAATGCTACCAGCTGATCCCAAGGCGGAAGCTATGAAGAAAATGGAGTTTCAATGGTACTTAAATACAATTTGAGAAGGGAGAGCTTAGACGGCTACAAGGGATTAAATCCGCTACACGGTTTCAAGAAACGAACTGAGAGCCTCATCCAGGACAAAGGGCGCCGCGCAGTCCAGGGCAGGGGCCAGTGCAAGTTCTTCATAGTGGCGCGAGTTGATACGGAGCGAACATAAACCTAGCTACAGCCGGACAGAGAGACCATTAGATTAGGTGAACCTGTCTAGGAAAATGTCTTTATTCAGCTGAGTAATACACAGTCAGAAGTGAGTATATGTGACCCATCAGATTAAGCATGCCTTGTCTCAAATACACATCTGTCTAGCATATCTCATCTTCTTTATTTTCTCTGCGAGGTTGGTTGCGCATTAAGCAGACAACAGGCGGAGGTCAGAGTATGGACGGATATTTCTATCTGAACCCAGGAATGGCAATTAGGTTAGAACAAATACTGACACTCTTGCAATGAGGACAAGCACGTTTTGAAAGCTCGTAGGCTTAGCTCATTGAGATGTTGACACAGCATTTAGAGTTAGGGGGAAATAAAGTCTTCGACGACTCCCGGGCAATGCTGTTCATCAGTAATTTAAAGATTACCGTTGCATGCACATGAATCGAGAGCGGAAACCAGTTTCGTGTTGGGGAATTTTTTTCGGTAAACTCTAGGCAGAAGCATAAGTTTACATAACATTGTTTTTTGGGGTAAACGTCAAAGCAGGCAGGGATTTATTTCTGTGTTTGAACGTTCAAAAGCGATGACTAAACGCGACTACATATCGCAAAAGTGCACGAAAGAAACTTGAGTACACAAGCTTTAGCAACCTAAACTAAATAGGTAGCCATGTCTGTCAGCCACGATAGTAGTATTGGCCGTATGAATCGTTTATGTGTACATAATTCCAGCTTCAGATGGTGGATGTAAATAGCCTCGGCGATAGACAAGATTTGCTTTCGGAAGCCTTGCGAGATGCATTCACATAGTAATTAGGTGACTTTAAAATCATTCTCAGATGGAGTATGATCACATTCGATGAGGTGCGACATGATTAGAATGTCTGGGGACCTCATTTCGCCTTGGTAAAACTGCGCCGAGATGTGCTCGCAAATTCTCTGGGATGGTCGTCTTGTTGTGCGACCCACGTATTATGTACACAGGAGCACGAATAATGATAAACGAGCGTTGAAGCGGTCAATGATGGTAGACTATCTTTCAAGGGCTTTGAATGCAATGGCTTGTTGCGATAAACAATTATCAAGAGGGGTTTGAAATAAATTTTCTCAATAGCATCTCTCAGACGTCCATTTCAGCTGTAGTATCACCAGTAATTGGCAAACGTATGAACAGCTGTGTCTTAGTGACAATGCTGCGGGGTGGCTTTCACTATCATTCTTTCAGATGCTTCATGAGAAATATATCAGGGTAACCATTTTCAATAAGTGCGTCGCTGATTCTCTGTAGCTCTTCCTTAACTGTATCCGGAGTGCAAATACTGCGCGTCCTGAAGGTAAGAAATCGGATTATACTCCACTTGTGCTATAAAAGCACAGCGCTGCGAAAGTTAGTGCATTGTCCAGTCCACGTAAATGCGCTTCGCAAGGTTTGAGGATCGTACAACAAATGGTTGTATATTCAGATGAGAGCTTCAAGCCGTAGGATCTACGAGATAGGGATCTTTCCACCACTGCTTCTCGTTTGCGATTTCGGCACTTTGCTTTATCCGTTATAGCTTCAATATGGCAAACCTGTCCATTATTCACAAACATTACGGGATTATCTTAACGAGGTGTTCGATCACCGGTGGATCGGTCGAGAAGGTGCAAAGGATTGGCGTACCCGGCCGCCAGATTAAACTCCCATTACATTTATTCCTACGGGGTTATTTGAAAAGAAGCGTTTACAAGACTACGCCTATTTCACTGCAATAACTGAAAGGAAGTACTGTCAACGAATGTCGCGCCAGCAACATGGAAACTGTGTAAAAAGTTACAGCCTATTGCCTCAGGTGATTTCTGTACTACAAGCAGACCGCCGGCGGGCAGGTTGTGCATCTTCTTCGTTGACAATGGAACAATGGAACAATGGTATATGACGGGTAAAAAAGCATACACTTAACGAGTCCCGCAGGTTGGCAATAGAAATACTAACAAATTGGCAAACCAC